AGGATGCTGAATGCTCCGAGGTCAGACCCAGGAAGGTGGAAGCTGTGTGAGCTGTGTGTCCTGAAGACAGGCTGCTCACAGAAAGGCGACTGCCCCAGAGTCCTGACTGGCTTCATGGGGAGCAGTTCCAGAGCATCGCCCAGGGACTCCGTGACAGCCTCTTGTTCATATGCTGACCTATTCATGATGACGGCTGCACCTCCTTTGTCAGCCTTTTTGATTATAATGTCAGAGTTGTTCCTGAGACTGTTGATGGCGTTGTGTTCGGTACGGCTGAGGTTATGGGGCAAGTGATGCTGCTTTTCCACAATTTCAGCCCATGCATATTGGCGGAAGCACTCTATGTAGAAGTCCAGTCTGCTGTTTTTTTCTTTAAGGGAGTCATAAAGTTGCTTTCTTGTTGTTGTTAGGGTGGTTACTGTGCTTTAGTGTGGTTAGTGAGTGAGTTGGATTGGGTGGGTAGGTCCTTGGAAATAGTGGGTAGTGTGTGTCTCTAATTTACCCTTTTTTTTTAAATTTGCTATTTTTTCATTTGTTATACTTTCTTTGGTCTGATTTTATTTAGAAAAATAATATTAAAAAAACAAGAAACAACAGAAAAAAATAACATATTATTTTTATTTTTCTGTTCCCTCTTCTCTTCTTTCCTGTGTGGCGCGGTGTCCTCAACGCTCAAGTATCTGGTGCCTCATGTGGCTCTCTTGCCTGGGGTGTGGTGCGGGCTTCGCCTTAGCCCCCGGGGGAAGGGAACCGGGCCCCTGCGCAGTCCCTCGCGGCCCCCCCCTGGCTGTTGCTTTCTGACTTTTTTTTTTTCGGGGACGGAATGGCGGAAGCCCGGAGGAGATTTAACAGCCAAGACAGAACTCTGTGAGCTCAGCTCAGTGTCTCCCTGTAAAAAAACCCCAGGGGGCCGCGGGCCCACCCCCCCCCAGGGCCCGCAGGGGGGGGTGCCCCCCCTGCCGGCGAAGCCGGCGCCCCCCCGCCCACGATTTGGGGACACCAAAAGCGGGGGCCCCCATTTTTTTTTCATTTTAACTTGTCTTCTCTCCGAATGGTTCCAGTGGTGCCATGGCGCCGGGCCCACACTCCAAAGGGGCCCCGACCCAGCCACTCTTCTCCACCCCCCGCTCTCTCTCCTGCGGGGGCAGAAGCTTGGTGCTGCCAGCTCCTGGGGCTCTGTCCTGCTGCAGCAGGGCAGGCTCTGCTGGCAGCCAAGCTCCTCCCTCCCCCGCCTCTTCCCCCAGCATGCTGGGTTCCCCCCTCACTCCCTCTCCCTGCTGCAGATCAGCTGTTTGCCAGCGTGAGGGAGGGGGGGGAAGCGGAGAAGAGGCAGGGGCGGGGCCTTGGGGAAGGGGGTGGAATTGGGGCATACCCGTTCTAGCCTCCTGCCATGAGCCACTCAGAGTAGGCAGCTGGGAGCACCCCCACCACCCCAGCCCACACCCCCAGCCCTCTGCCCTGACTCCTGCATCTGCCTCACATACACCCCAGCCCTCTTCCCTGACTCCTGCACCCGCCCAGAACCCCAGCCCTGACCCCTGCACCCCCCACACACCATGCCCTGAGTCCTGCAGCTCCCTCACAACTCCCCAGCCCTCTGCCCTGACTCCTGCACCCACCCACAGATCCCCACCCCTACCCTGAGCACCAAATGGGAGCTCCTGTACCCTCCCCCCCACATACCCACCTGCATCCCTTGCATCGAATGGGAGCTGCCCAAGGTAAGCGCTCCACACCCCAACCTCCTGTCCCAACCCTGAGCCCCCTCCCTCATTCTAGCTCTTGGCTAGACCCTGCACCCCAACCCCCAGCCTGTTCCTGCACCCTAACTCCCTCCCAGACCCTGCACCCCCACCCTCAGCTCGATGCAGAGAGAGATGAAAAGAATGGGCTAGAACCAGGGAGAAGGTAGGTACCCGCTCTATGTGGGCAGGGGTGGTGGTAGGGAATCCTGTTTACCCCTCCCTAGCCCTGCTGCCCTTGCAGTTTACTCCTGGCCCCTTCGTTGCTCCAAGGACCAACCCTAGCTCCCGCCCCACTGTGTTTTAAAATTAAAAAATTAGATTTTAATTTAACTTGATTTTTGAGGGAAAAAACGATCTAAAGATAGTTTTAATTAAGATACATTATATCATGGAATAGGGGTTATAAATTCTAATTCTATAGTATGAGACAATATATAATTGTAATCTTTAAGAAAAGTTTTGTAAATAAGTTCTAATAGTTCATGGATTAGGGACCCAATCTTATGGGGTTCCAGAGGCTTCTGTATAGATTCTTTAAGTTAATTTTTCTATCTACCCAATGGGGATTCAGTGCTCAGTCTGGAAGATACCATCAGAGATGCTTAGTTTTGCAGTTCTCAAACTGTGGATTTGTGTCTCCAGAGGTAACATGCTTGTTAACAGCAAAAATGTTTTAAAATAAATAAATAATGTATAGCGGTGAGAAATAACAGACCTCAACTCTATTGTCCCTCTGCAAATTTGTGTACACAGGGTCAACCCTTTACCTCTCTTTAAAAGTGAAAAGTTTCAAAAAGTTCAATGAACAGAAAGTTGTTGGGGGGCAGAATAGATCTGGAAAAGGAGAAGAAGTCTGGAGATAAATGTGAGAAGTGATGGACATATGCTTTTTTATTAAAATATTATGTTTGCTGTTGAAGAAAAAAATACTTAACGTTGTTGTTTTAGTTAAATAAAACAATTTAAATGTCTGTCTGGTAGTGTTCTCCTCTTAATACAGCCTGGCAAGAAAATCCTCCAAATATTCAAGATTAACCTCTTGAATTGGAGACAGTTCACCTTCCAATGACTTCATAAATATCTGCTTCAATTATCTTTGACAAATGAAATAACCAAACAATCATTCATTTTCTGATACAGCTGTAAAACTCATCTGAAAAGTTTTCAAAATAAATCACGGTTTACAAATGTATAGTGAGTGCCTTCTAGAAATGAAACCTACATCTGTCTCTGATTTGTGAAGAATATGTATTAAGGTTATAACAACCAACAAGAATGCACTTTTATGTAGAAACCCATGATTAAATCAAGTCTTCCTAACTACAGGTTTCAGAGTAACAGCCGTGTTAGTCTGTATTCACAAAAAGGAGTACTTGTAGCACCTTAGAGACTAACCAATTTATTTGAGCATGAGCTTTCGTGAGCTGTAGCTCATGAAAGCTCATGCTCAGATAAATTGGTTAGTCTCTAAGGTGCCACAAGTACTCCTTTTCTTCTTCCTAACTAGTGATTTAAGTCATGATTTAAATCAAATCTACCCTGCCCGCTGTGCTCTTGCCCCTGGCCTCTTCATTCCCCAGGGGGGCCCACAAATATGTTTGGAGCCAGGCCCACAAAAAGTTAATTCGGCCCTGGGAGGAGCCAGGCCATCCCACTCCGGGGCAGAGAGCACGGGGCCCAGTCTGCTCTGGGCAGAGCACAGCCCCCACGGGCCCATGAGGTGGGACAGGCTCGTCCCCCTATGGTGGGACTGTTCATGGAGCAGGGCTGTGGTGAGACCAGATGGGAGCTGAAGGCAGGCGCTAGGAGGATGGAGCAGGACTCCTGGCTCAAAGCCTGAGGGTACCTGAGTACCTGCCACTGCCTCCCCGTGTGCCCCCCGCAGCCTTCCCGCTGGTGCCCCAGCTCCCCATAGCGAGCAGCCTCGGAGACCCCCTGCCTGCCCCCTCATTCCTATATTTGGCCCAGGACATTTTTAAATTTCTTGGGGCAGTTTACCCGTCTCCAGGATTTCTATGGGAAGTGCTCACCTGGAGCCACAGCTGGTCAATGCAGAGACAAGCGGGCACCATGAGGCATTATAGTTACCAAACATGGAAACCTCCCGCTTTGTGTGTGTGTGTTCATGTGTGTGCGTGTGTGTGTGTGACGTCATTTTCCTCATTGCGCGTGGCCGTCACCCCGTTCTGACTGGCTGGTTATCGTGCTACGTTGACTCGTTTCGGAGGTTGTCGACTGAGGCTCACGATGTCTGTGGAGATGTTTCAGATCTCAGACTCTGGCAGTGCAGCTGTATCACTTCGATACGTTGTGTCCATTGTGTGGGTATGCTCGGTATTTGAGTGTGTATGTTTACGTGCCGATATGCGTGTACTGTTGAAATTTGTCATATTGATATTGTCCTTGCCACTTTGTACCGTAGTGAAGCAGTACGCGGGGGAGGGGAAAGGAGGGGGGAGGGGGGCACAAGGTGGAAGTTTCTTAGAGGCACAAAAGTGTGGCCCTGAGTGCAATACACAGGTGATGGGATGTGCGCGAGGCCAGATCGAACGGCCAATGGGAATCTGACCATTGACTGCAAGGGGCGCCGGGTCAGGCTCCAAGGCCGGAGAGTCTCAGACAGGCCAGAGCTCAGGGACAGAATGTGGGGCTGGAAGGGTCCGGAGAAATCACCACATGCAGCTGAGGTGCAGGGCCCAGTAAACCGGACTGCTAGGGCTTCACCCTGGTCTTGGGGGAGGGGAGGAAAGCATCCTCAGACCATAGCTTCATCCAGACCTTATTTTGTGGGTTTTTACAGCTCTGAACTTCACAGACTGACTCTTTAGCTCCAGCTATAGAGACTTGTGCTTAAGCGCTGCAGGTCCCACTTCAATCCCCAGGGAGTGTTGGGGTGGGTTTGGGGATGTCCTGTCCTGTGGGGCAAGGGGATATGCTCCCCCTTCTACCCTTCCAGCAATACACATCAGATTGGTTCATATTCTTCCCCCTCTCCCCATTGCCCCCCTGTTCTCCCATCCCTTCTCCTCCCTCCATTCATTCCTTCTCTCCTGCCCTCTCCCTGTCCTTCCTCCTCTTTTACTCTCCTTCAGTTTCACTTCCTCCTGTTTTCTCCCCCTCCTGGCTCACTCCTTTTTCTTCTTCTCCCTTCTGTGGCTGGGACTAGCAGATACTTGCAGGCAGCCCCTCCCAGTGTCAGCACAAGCCCACACTGCACAGCCAAGGGCAGAGAGAACAGATGCTCACCCAGCTGCCATGGCCGCTGCAGCTACAGCAGGGGAAATACAAGATGAAGCTATTTGCTCCATCTGCCTGGAATAT